GGCGGAAGAGGCGCAGGTCCGCAATTGTACGTAGGTCGGGGGGCAGGTCATTCCAGAGGGCAGGAGCTGCCACAGAGAAGGCTCTCCCCCTGGGGGTCGCCAGCCGGCATTGGCTGGCCGACGGTACCCTAAGGAGGCCCTCTCTGTGGGAGCGGACTGGTCGAAGGGAGATATTTGGTAGGAGGCGGTCTTGCAAATAATACCAGTATAGGGCAAACTAAGGCCTTTAAATATCTGTGAATTATTTTTCAACCCTCTGCTGCCTGGAAAGAGTAAACAAAAGCTGTCGCAGATTAGGCCCATGGGACTCTCAATTGAATTTAGTATTTTGCTGGTAGAGTAAGTGGTAATTATGTTCTCACTGCTTTAAACATCTGTAAAGCTGAAGTGATTCCCCTTTGGCTTTCTGGTTTCCAAATTTGCATTGATAAAAACTCAAATCCTCACGAATGGTCCAATCCAAATGTTTAAGATTGATGAGTTCTGAGGAACCTCAAGTATAAAACTCATTAGGTTAGGAATTCTGAACCAGCTCCTTAAGGAGCTCTTAGGAACTCTGACACCTTAGATTTTGGTTTAAATGGGTACTTAAGGAGTCATTTCTGGTCTTGATTCTTTTACAGTTTTCAGTCATCTTGGAGGGGGAAGGAAATTCAGTTTTCAATTCTTCACTACTGCTATCTTACAGCCCAGTATTTGGTTTCATTGGGTTCAGGAGAGCCAACATAAAGTTAAAAGAGACCCAGGATCTTCAAAGTGATTAAAGTTCAGTCCCTCCCTTGCTCTGGGAATAATTTTGGGTAGAAGATTATTGCCTAATCTAATCTGGATTGGTGTTTCATTTTCCTAAACTGTCTTGGCAGGTCTGATGAGGAGAAAGCTTGCCAGCAATTGGCCAAAGTATCTGCAGAAATATCTAGAACAGTGATGGCAAACCTTTTAGAGACTGAGTGCCCAAACTGCAACCCAAAACCCACTTATGCATCGTCGAGTGCCGGGTGGGTGTGGCCAATTGGGTGGGCGTGGCCCATTGGGTGGGCGTGGCTGCGGTAGTAACGGCAGACTGGGTGGGACTAAAAAGTTCAATCAATCAATTCCAACTTTGCAAGATCTTTTTTTTTCCCGCGAGAAGTTGAAATTGACTGATTGAACCTTTTTTTTTTTTTTTTTGCACATGGCGGCGGAGGCCTAAAGTGAAAAGGTTTTATAAAACCTAGCTGAAGGCCTAGGACTGGGGCGACGGCGCGCGTGCCCACAGAGAGGGCTCTGAGTGCCGCCTCTGGCACCCGTGCCATAGGTTCGCCACCACTGATCTAGAAAGATGGCTAGTTTAAGTACAGCTGCTATTTACTACTAGGAAGCTAATGGTATAGTCTTCTCGATTATTAGTTGCATATATTTGTCTAATCTTCTTGTGACATAAAAAGGTAAAGGTGTCCCTGCAGATTTCACTCCACTAGTCTTTGTCAACTTTAGAGGGTGGTGGTGCTCATCTCCATTTCAAGGTCATTGAGCCAGCACTGTCTGAAGACCTTTCTGTGGTCTTGTGACCAGCATGACGTCACAGAGCGCTGTTACCTTCCCACTGAAGTGGTACCTATATATCTACTCACATTTGCATGCTTTCAAACTGCTAGGTTGGCAGGAGGTGAGGCAAGCCGTGGTGGGATTCAAATATGTGAACAACCGGTTCTCAATGTGGATGCCGCTTCCGGAAGTCCATTCTGGGCCCGGGCAACAAAAAATTAGCTACCGGTTCTGCCAAAGTGGTGTGAACCGGCTGAATCCCACCGCTAGAGGCAAGTAATGGGAGCTCACTCCATCATGTGGCAGTTGGGTCTCAAACCTGGGCTGCTAGCTTTCCAGTCAACAAGCCCAACATCTTAACTGCTGAGCCACCATGCCTTCTTGTGACATGGTCAGGATTAATAGATTTCCACATACCTTTGTGAATGTCAAGTATTTTTTTTAAATAAAGGTTTTGCTTTTTGTACTGTGCCTCTCTGTCTTGATTGCAATAAGTTGGTGTGAAAGTAAGAATTCGTAGAATGAATGATACTGCTCCTATAGCATAGGAGGGTGATAGTTGCAAGTTACTTTCCAGCCAATGATAACGATAGAATCTGGGATGGGCTTTGGGGGGGGGGGGGAAATGATGCAATGTTCTACAATATATATCTTTCTCCCATATTGCAGTGAATGCAATCTGGAGAAAAATATAAATATAGATTTTGTTAGGTGACAAGATGGATGGGTGAGAATAAAACAATGCAGAAAAAGTGAGCCATGTGGAGAACCAAGAATAGATTTAAAATGGTGATAGTTTTGCTCAGCATCATTTTAGAAAAAGGTTTGTTTTGAACATGGGCTTTTAAACATATTTTTTTGAAGGAAAGGAATGAACATAAACCCATGATTGATTTATAATAATAGTAATAATAGTCGTCATCGTCGTCGTAGTAGTAGTAATAATAATAATAATAATAAAGTTGGAAGGGATTTGAAGGTCATCTAGTCCAACCCCCTCCTCAGGCAGGAAATTCTATACCATTTCAGACAAATGGCTGTCCAGTCTCTTCTTAAAAACTTCCAGTGTTGGAGCATTCACAGCTTCTGGAGGCAGGTTGTTCCACTGGTTAATTGTTCTAACTGTCAGCAAATTTCTCCTTAATTCTAGGTCGCTTCTCTCTTTGATTGAAGGTTTTTAAGAGAATTAGTGAAGGTTTAGGGTACTGATGGAAGAGAATAACTCAGGGTTGAACTGTGGGGTCCTCTCTGAACTTGCAGACATTTCATCACCAACTATGTAACATCATTAGTGTTAGAAGGAAGTGGGGTTTGCTCTCTTAATATGAGGGTAATGAGAGGTTCATAATGTGGGCAGACCTAAAGGCAGTGTGAACCTAGAAGAAAAGGAAAGTAGTAAAAGAAACAAGAATAACAGTAGAAAGATTACAAGAAGAGAAAGGATTAAACCTGCACGGAAAAGCATAGATGGTAGGATAGGGAAATGGATGGGAAATGGATGTAAGGAAAGAAAATATAGAAGCTGCACGGAACAGAATGAAAAGAACTATTTTACAAAGTGCCACAGATGTATGTAGAGTTATACTAATGGAACATGAAAATGGACTTGATGGAATAATAAAAGAGGCTTTGGATAAGAGAAGAGATAAACATATTGTATAATGTATAGGGATGAAGAATTAGTTTGGTGTAGTGATTAAGGCATCAGGTTTGAAAGTGGGAGACTGTGAATTCTAGTCCCATCCTAGGCTCAAAGCCAGGTGTGTGACTTTGGGCCAGTCACTCTGTCTCAGCCCTAGGAAGGAGGCAATGACAAACCACTTCTCAAAACTTTTGCCAATAAAAGAGCAGAGACTTGTGCAGATAATTACCAGGGATTTAAAAAACTGACTTGAAGGCAATATAGGTAGATATAGATATATAGATAGATATACAGAGAGATAAAGCTAATTGGCAAGAGAACAAAAGTCTATTTCTAATGACAGAAGATAGAATTTCAGTTGAAAGATTGATTAAACTTGCACTCTAGTACATCTGAATTTAAATTGTTTTAATACCATCATTATCATCATCTAGTACTTGGGTCTTAGTAATAAATGAAAAGAATATGAAGTTATGCTGGATGTCACGTATACATAAAAAGTACAAAGAGTCACAGGAATGTCATTGCGTTGTCATTTAAAATGTTAAATACATCAAAGATCCAGTAATAGTTTTAAAATTAATGGAGCATGTGGATAAGAATCACTAAATCCTTTTTCCTCTCTTGTTTTGAAAAGGTCTGTCTGCAGATGGTGGTGCCAAGCGACAAGAACATCTGTCCCGGTTCTCCATGCCAGATCTAAGCAAAGATTCAGGAATGAACGTCTCAGAGAAGATGAGTAACATGGGAACCCTCAATTCTTCTGTACAGTTTAGAAGTGCCGAATCTGTCCGCAGCCTAATTTCTGTTCAGCAGTACCAAGATGTAGATGCCAACCTACACAATCTTGCCAATCCCATTGGATACAGGGAGACCTCATCACATGGAAGGATGCACCAGAGCTTTGATTATGAAGGCGGGATGGCAAGTAACAAATTGGCTGGACCAGACAATATCAGACATCCCCCGATGAGCGAACGCACACCCAGACGAACTAACATCCGAGATGATGATCGGCGTTATCGCCCCCACAGGCCCCGACGGTCCAGGCGTTCCCGTTCAGATAATGCTCTTCATCTCACTAGTGAACAAAACTATAAGTTGAAAGAGAGGCCCTCCCTACGAGCCAGAGAGGACTATGACCAGTTTTTGCAGCAAAGAAGCTGCCGGGAAACCATGGAGCAGAACACCCGGAGGAACCTGTATGGCCAGTGTCCCAGGACTGTCTCAGACCTGGCCTTGCAAAATCATTTTGGCGAGAGATGGGGACCCTACTTTGCCGAATACGACTGGTGTTCCACGTGCTCCTCCTCCTCCGAATCTGACAATGAAGGCTACTTCCTGGGAGAACCAATTCCTCAACCAAGCCGACTCCAGTACGTCACCAATGAAGATCTTCTTCACAAATACGGCTCGTACAGCATGCCTAAGTCTTCTACACTGGGTGGTCGAGGACAGTTACACAGCCGAAAAAGGCAAAAGAGCAAAAACTGTGTCATAGCATAGCCGCATAGCCCAAGCACAGTGTTAGAGAATGTAATTATTTCATCAACTTGCACTGCTGTAGGTTTTCAAGCGCTTTGTATTGTAACAAAACAATCCAGGCAAAACAGGGAGCTGTTAAGAGGAGGTCATAGACAAAAGGTCTATAAATAGTCATAATTGTTGGCATGGTGAATATATTTTGCACATTTTATTTGGGGGAGGAAGGGAGGGAGGGAGGGATAAAATTTATTTTAGCATGTTATAGTTACAAATTTACCTCCTTCCCATAAGTAGCTGCCATCCATTTAATACCCCGTTCACCCATATGTTTTTAGTTGACGTTTTCTGTAATGAGCAGTTAGCTACTCGTTTAATCTCTCCTTTTTTTCTTTTTCCCTTTCTCTTGGCTTTTTATTTTCACCACCTGTCTAAGGGGGCCATTTTCCCCACCAAGTTGCAAAGAAGTGGATGTTATTTTCCACATTTGTTCAGTCAAAGAGAGTTTGGGGAAAATACTTTTGTATTTGGTAATGTCAGAGGAATGTCTTCCTCGTAGAGGTCCCTGGGATAACCAGGGATATCTATTGTGGTTTTTGGACAGAGCTAAACAAATATTGTTTCAAACAATGCCATCACATTCCTTCAGGATCAGCAGAATTTTATCTTTTCTCCCTCTTAAAGTATGTCGTCATTTTTTTTTTAAAAAAATCCTGAATTCTCAGGCTTGCAGGCTACTTTAAAAGGTTAATAACACTTTCCTATTCTGTTATAGGTTTCATAACACAAACACAAAGTAGAAAATGATAATTATTGTTTGTTCTTTTTTAAATAGACTCATACAGATACACACTCCATTAAATGTAAAAGTTAAACTGACCCAGGTCTGAGAAGAAAGTTTACATCTCTTTAGAGAGGGGAAAGTCACTAAAATTTCAACTTTTTTGGGGGGGGGGAAGGGTTACAACCAAAAGAATTGTAAATGGTTCTGTAGTGTCAGCATGAGCTTGTTTTGAGTATAGAATTGTTTGCTGGTGCTCTGGTTTCCTGGCATTTGTTAACCGCTGTTCATTACCAAGAGGTATCTTTTTTCTGAAAGTCATAATACAATGAATACATCCTAATCATATTACACTTACACTCTACCCTTGGGTGATGAACACTTCAAGCCCATTATGAAGGCCGTTTGAAGGACCCATACTCAGGGTAGAATGGACTTCATTCTTTGGAAGTAGAAGAACACAACAATAGCTTCAACATGGGTAGTTATATATATAGGGCTCAAAATGTATTGTGTACTATGGTGGATGTGAGGTTTTCCTCTACTCACTCTCTCTTTCTCTTTCTCTCTCTTTGTGCTTTAAATAATTGGGAGAGTGACATCAAGACGTATTCTTTATTGTTTCCAGACAAATACGGTCAGAAAGAAGGAAAATACGCTTCTGTTATTGTATATTTTATTATAGGGTTGTAAAACGGGTTTCAGTAGATTTCCAGGTAGGTCAGATCTGGACAGCTGACAATACCTGTATGTGGGTTCTCCAGAGAATGTAAGGACTCTGTTAATACAAAAGTCTATTGAACAGATGGCAAAATCCAGGTGTGAGGGTCCCAGGCACTTCAGCTGGACTTCAGAAGCAGAGGCTTTGGGCCCAATCCACCCGCACCACTGGCAGACAAGCCCTGATGCAGTATTACTCCAACCGTAAGGGACAGTCAAGATTTGTGATTTGAAACACGATGACTGGGAAGGGAATCTCAAGATGATGATGTATCTGTAACACAGCTAGCAATCTTTTGTTGTGTGAAAGGAGAATGTGATGATGATTTTTTTCCCCAAAAAAATAAAAAAGAAGGAAAAAGAAAAGAGATGTGGTGATGTGTAAAAGGCCCCAACAGAAACTGAGTCTTGCTTTGTTAAAATAGATTTTATTTATGGTGGTCGCATCAGGGTTTATTTATGTTATTAACATTTATTTTTCTTCAATCTGTGTTATGCTTATGGTCTACTCACAGAGATGGGATTTCCATTGCATTTCATCATAAGGGGCACTCAACCGATAGGGAGGGATGGAAGGAGAGAAATGGATAGGCAGATAATGGGTAGAGAGATAGGCAGACAGACAGACGAACAATACAAATTAAAAAAAAGCATGTTCCACTCCTCGTATGGATTATTTCAGAGTCGTGCAACTTCTGATTGGTTTAAGTTCAAATGAAACCAATAATCTGGAAAATATTATAGAGTTAGTTATTTAGAGTTACGTTTGGAACCTTAGAAATAATTCTACAATTTCCCTTATTATATTATAAAATATATAATATATAAATATACAATTTTTAAAAATTATGATATGTGAGTAAGCCACCATCACCATCATGCTAAGTCACAAGACATGATTCACAAACCAGTGTCTTGCTTTGCACACTAAAATAAGCCAGCACCAAAAAACAACATTGCAGCAGTTTGCCATGAAGATCCAGGAAATGGCTGAATTTAGATATTCATGATTGCTGTGGTGAGTGCTGCATCAAAATTCAAGTTCACATTTTTCTCCTCTCCTGTGCATAAAAGAAATATGAAGTTTCTGTTTGGAATTTTAAAAAAATCAGCATTTGCTTTATCCCAAATACGGACAATAGACCAACTTAACAAACCATAAGCAAACCAAGTATGATCCTCTGGTGTGTAAAAGAATAACTTGCTTGCTACACATCAATAAAGAGAAACAGACTATAAGAACAGCGTGGTGGGTTGTTGTGGGACTTCTGAATGCCGTTGGTGAAAAACCAGGAAATTTATTGACTGCTTGGCCATGAAAACCACATATATCACATGAAAAGAGTGATGGTAAGTATAAAATAAGCAGAATGGTATAATTAAACTTACGAAAAAGTATTTTGGTGGCCAGGGTTTATATTTGAGGAAGGAAAGCAAAACCTCAGCAGGCACAGCCATAACATAATAGCAAAAGTGGTAATTTTCCAGGTGCTTTCCTGGACTCATATTTCTAAAGGATGGATTAATTAATTAATATGCTGCCTATCTCACAATCAAGTGGCTCTGGGGAGCTGGTTAAACCAATTGTGCGTACATGGATATTTTTTAAAAGTCTCTTCAATCATGCCATTGATTTCTGGTCATCACAATGAAGGTATCTGCTGGAGATACATGAAATTTGGAGTTTATTGTGATACTGAGACTACAAGTTCTCCACTTTTCATTATGTGATTTAAGCATTTCTGTTCTTGGACTTTCATCAAATCCTAGTGAAATGAATCACGTTATTACTAAAGGGAACATTCATATTATACATTGGACTGTCATTCATAGCTAGTTTAGTCTAGTGGTTAATGTGCTAGCCTAGAAACCAGGAGATGGTGAGTTTTAGTACTGGATTAAGCATGAAAGCCAACTGGGTGACTTTGGGCCAGTCACTCACTCTCAGCCCAACTTAATTCACAAAGTGAAAAATAGGAGGAAAGAGTATTAGGTATGTTGGCTACCTTTAATTACCTATAAAATAATAAAGGCAAGATAATCTAATAAATATTTATCGAAAACATACGTTCAAAATGTGGATATTAAACAATATCATCAATAGTAAACTTTCAATTACCCCTGTTAGAATATGGTCAAGTATTATGCACTTGGGGCTACTTTAAATGTCCATTTTGATACAAGACATTTTGGTGCACTTTATCAATGAACTGCTGTTGCCAAAGTCAAAATCCGAAACTACAATTTCATGCCCATTTACCTGACAATAATGATGTGAGTTGGACCTCTAGCAAAATAAGTGTAGCAATACATTGTAAATCCACCTTTTATGTAGCTTTAGTACGCCACAAGGAGTGGCTTGTGTTTTGAAGATGTATGCATATGACCTAACTGATCGTCTATAATTGTCAATAATTATGCTTAATTACTTCTGAAAATTATAGCTAGAGGACAGGCTGTTAATTGACATTAATCAAAATGTTCCAGGGGAGATTCGGAGATGAATTCTTATGGAGGGTTTTGGCACTGCATCAAGAAGAAGAAAAATAAAAGCAAGTAGGTGCCGCGTTTTAAATATGGGGGACTCTGGTGTGTTAAGTACCTTTCATACAAGCCCAGACAGCAGGTTAAAAGAATTCGGCTTTCTCAAGCTGCTGTCTGGGATGAACCAGTTTAACCCTTGACCTGAATTAGCTAATAAAATCTGCCTTCATCCTTTGCCATGCAGATACATCCATCATGCTATTCTCTATCCAGCTAAGTAACATGCAAAGCAGAGAAAAGGAATAAATAATAAAACCTGAAAATGATGGGTGATAAGAAAAGGAAATAAATATAGCTAAGTCTAGCTATATATTCAGCATTGACAATAGCTCCATGCCTTTCTGGTCTGACACATCCTTCATTCATTCTTTCCTCCATTTCATATTTTACATTTATACTTTTTTTCTCTCCTGTAAATTCCTTCTTTTTTCAGAAGATATCTTCACTGAGCAATTTTCTAAGTCTTCTCCTTTCTCTCAAACCACTCGCTCTATATATTTGTTTTGCAAGTTCATTCTCGTTCATTCTCTTTAAATGGCCAAACCACCTTAATGTGCTTCTTTCGTCCTCTTCACTCACTTCTGCAATCAATCCCCATTTATTCAGCAGTCATATATCCTTCAGCCTATCTCTATATATGCCAATACTTTAGTAATCCTTTCCCACTGCATTCAACTTTTTTTTTAATCCTGACACACTAAATACATATATTTTTCGTACTTTGCAACTCGTTCTTTGAGACTCCCCCAAATTATTCCACCACTATATATCTTAAAACTTCTTGACTATTTTCCCATCTTTAGTAAAGGTACATAAATCGATCAATTGTGTTTATAAGTTTCTTGTTTTGTTTTTACATTTATACATTAAATCAGTGTTGCTTAACCTTGGCAACCTAAAAGATGTGTGAACTTCAACTCCCAGAATTTTCCAGCAAGCTTGTTGGCTGGAGAATTCTGGGAGTTGAAGTCCATACATCGTCAAATTGTCAAGGTCGAAAAAGATTACATTAAATCGTAATTGCTTGCTCCATTTTCTGGATCATATCCAATCACCATGGTCTTTGAGATATTTATTCATTCA